CTGTGACCCCCGGTCTGTCCCCGGTTCCCCCCCCACTCACACACACCCTGGACAGACCGGGCACCCCCTTTCCCTGTCCCTTCAGTGGGCTCGGGTGGGGGCTCCAGGACCCTGTGGGGACCCCAATGCCCAGGGCATGGGGAGGCRTCTGGGTGGGGGTGCTGGGCAGTGCCGGGGGTCCTGGGCAGGGTCCTGCCTGCAGCCGCCACCTCCACCCGCTCCTGTTGCCACCCCTGGCAGGGGCTGCCACCCATGTGCCCGGTGACACCCGCGAAGGCGCCGCCGCCGGTGTGGGTCCGGGCACCCCTAACCCCCGAGCTTCTTTGCTTGGAGCCACCTGCGGTTGTGCCCCCTGTGCCAGCCGTGGCCGTGGGCACAGCGGGGGACCCCGCTCAGGGCAATGGGGCGGCAATGAGGTGCCAGGGGCTGCCGCCAGCTGCGTGTCCGGTGCCCTTGGAGCTGCCGCTGCCTGGCATGGCACTTGTGGTGCTGTCCCCACCGCGCCGCGCTGCCTCCCTGGGGACACGGGGTGGCCGGGGCGAGGGGGACGGCAGGCGGTGCCAGCTGTCCCCCCGGCAGCTGCGGGCGCCCGGCACGCCGTGGCCGTGGGACATTCCCACCCGGTGCCGGCTGTTCCGGGAATGTGGGGGGGCCCGGGCAGCCCCCCTCCCAAGAGGGACCCTCCCCAGCAGCTGCGGGAGATTCCTGGATTCCAACATCTGGGCTGGGGGGGGACCCTGCACTGATTTGGGGGGAAGGTGGTTTTGGGGTGTCCCGTTGCTGTGGGTGGGCACTGCCAGCCGGGGTGCTGGGGCAGGGCCCAGTCATCCAGGGCTGGGTGCCAGGTTGGGGGAGCCCTGCGCCCCGATGCCKCCCCGGGGGGCAGGACGCGGCCGGGGGGGCCCGAAGGCGCCCGCGGGCCCGGCGGGATGATCCAGGTCGTTGCCTGGGCGACGGCGCCGGAGCCGCCGGGCCGGCTGCCAAGGGCTGCGGCTCCGCGCGGGCCGCGCGCGGGGAGGGGGGGCCGCCGCGCCGGGCCCTGCTCCTCACCCCCCTGCCAGCACGTGGCCCCACCACCCGCCTGACACTGCCACACGTGGGAGCAGGGGGACACCCCCAAATTCGCGGCGTGGGGGGGACACCAGTGTYCTCTCCAGGGCTGCTTCCCCAGTGGGTGCTGCCGTCATCGTGGGTGTCAGGGTGCAATATCCCCTTCCCCCAGGGAAGGTGCCTGTCACCCTGCTGGGGGGGATCCCACTGGGATGGCACCTGTGTCCGGCTGGGTGGTGCCGACACCCCTCCGAGCTGGTGCCSGCGACCTGCTGGGACGGTGCCCAGGATCTGTGGGCTGGTGCCACACATCCCGCCGGCATGATGGCAGGGATCCCACTGGGACAATGCTCATCGTCCTGCTGGGATCACACCCACCATYCCCCCGGGACGATGTCCCCCACCCYGGGACGGTGCCCATGACCTGTGGGCTGGTGCCAAGCATCCTGCCGGGATGGTGCCAACAGTCCCACTGGGACGATGGCCATCATGCTGCTGGGATGACACCCACCGTGCCCCGGGATGCTGGCACCATCGCAAGGTGTTGGCCGCGCTGTGTGCCCGTGTCCCCGCGGCGGGCGCGCGGTGCGGTGCCGTGTCCCCGCAGCCAGGCCGGGCACTGCGCAGCGGTGCCGGTGCCGGTGCCGGTGCCGACGCCGTGTCCCCGCTCCCGCAGAGGTGCTGCTCAAGGTGCAGGTGTACGAGAGCGGCGCGCTGGCCCCGCTGGCCCAGGCCACCCTCGAGGTCTTTGGCAACCGCAGCTCCCTGGCCACCGGCACCACCGACCATGAGGGCGCCGGCGTCGTGCCCGTCACCTACCGCCTGGGCACCTGGGTGCTCGTCACGGCCGCCCGCCGCGGCTACGTCACCGCCTCCGTGCCCTGGCGCGTCACCAAGCTGCCGCGTGAGTCACCCGCGCCCCCCGTGCTGGCCTGTCCTGGGGGGCTCCTTATGGGTGTCCCCGGTGCCCTGCCGGGGCCCTAAGCTCTTCCTGAGCGGGGGGTCCTGAGTCCTCGCTGGGGCTCTGAGCCTTCATGGGACCCCTATTTCTCTATGGGATCGGGGACACCGGGGACCCCAGTTCATTTATTGCTCTTGCGGAGGGGCCACAGTCCTTTCCGGGGGGGCCTTGGAACCCTTCTGGAGTCTCCAAGCCTTCCTGGGGTCCTCAGTCCCTTAGGTGGGTCTCCATCCCATCGTGGGGGTCCTGATTCCCTGAGGTCCCCTGAGCCCTTTTCCGGGGGGTGCGAGGGCCTTTCGGGGTGACCTGTTACAGAGCGGGTGTCTGGGTGCTGCCTTGAGGCCGATTTAGGGGGGAGCCACCTGTTCTTGGGGGGAGCGGGGCGGGGGGGCTGACATGGCACTGGGGACGGGGCGGGCAGAGCCCTGTCCCAGTGCCAGCGCTTGGCCCTTCAGCCCTCCCCAGCCCCACGGGGGACGGGGGGGCACCCTGGGCTCGGCGCCAGCCCTTGGGCCCGCGCGACGGCGGGAGGGACGGGGTCGATGTGGGCGACCTTGCTGCGGGCACTGGCACTGCCACCGAGGGCCGCGCAGGAGCGAGGCAGCGCTGGAGACAGGCGGGCGCACAAGGTTTGGGTGGCACATGGGGTGTCCCAGGCCCTGCCAGCCCCGTGTCGCCATCCCCATCCCCGCCTGCAGTTGCGACTCTGCTTTATCCCCTCCCCAAAYGCTATTTGGGGCTATTTTGGGCACTGCTGCGGGAAGCTGAAGCTGGGCGGGGGGACACCCCCCACCTCCTGCTGTCCCCCCAGTGCACCCAGGCCCCTGCTTGAAGCGGCTGCAGGTGCCCCATGCCCATCAGGCCCCATTCCGCCTCCTCTTGCTCCTCCATGTCCCTGCTGGAAACAGGGCTGGGACACCGGGCGGGGGGGACGCGAGGGGTTGCACCGCATGTCTCCGTGTCCCCCGCTCCGCAGTTTACGCCTCCGTCAGCCTCTACCTGCTCCCCGAGCGCCCGGCCACCCTCATCCTCTACGAGGACCTGGTGCAGATCCTGCTGGGCTCCCCAGGTGAGTGGCCGGGGCCGGCGGGGCGGCGCGGGCGGCCCCGCGCTCTCGCCCGCAGGAGCCCGCGGGCAGCCCTGGGTGCAGTTCCAGCGCAAGGCGGCGCGCCTGCCCCGCAGCTCCACGTACAGCCAGCTCGCCGCCTCGCTGACGGCCGCCACGGCCGACGCCGACCTGCGCGCCTTCCCCTGCTTCCTGGGCGCCGAGCGCAACGGCAGCGGTACGCGGCGGCGGGCAGGGCCCCGCGGGCGCTGGGCACGCGCCGGCGYGCTCACCCGCTTGCTCCCCGCAGCCAACGCCTCGTGGCTGGAGCTGGCGCCCGTCGCCGCCGTCAGTGTGCACCTCTTCACGGGCAACGGCACCGAGGTGCAGCTCTCGGGCCCCGTCCACCTCTCCATCCCGCTGCCCCCCGACAGCGGCGCCATGGTGGCCACCAGCGTGCCGGCGTGGCGCTTCGACGGCAAGAGCGGTGAGCGGGCCCTCGGCGGGACGCGCCCGTGTGCCCGTGCCCCGCGCGGGAGCGGCTTTGGCGGCGGTCGCAGCCCGGAGGAGGCCACGGTGACGGCGGCTGCCCCTCTGCAGGCTTGTGGGTCCGCAACGGGACGGGCTTGATCCGCAAGGAGGGGCGGCAGCTCTACTGGACCTTCGTCTCCCCCCAGCTGGGCTACTGGGCAGCGGCTCTGCCCTCTGCCAACACAGGTAGGGCTGCCCCAGGGCACCCCGGGCCTGCTGCCCTCCTGCATCTCTGTCCCCTGGCCTGGGCACCCCGAGGGGACAGGGGCAGGGGACAGGCACTGGGTCTCACGCGGCACCCCCACGGCAGGGCTGGTGGCGATGGCTGCGGGCATGAAGGACATCACCACGTACCACACCATCTTCCTGCTCACCATCCTGGGCGCCCTGGCCCTGCTCGTCCTCATCCTGCTCTGCCTGCTCATCTACTACTGCAGGTGAGCACCCTCCCTGCCCACCTGGCACCCCCCGGACACCCTATTGCTACCTATACGGGACATTGTGCACTTGGCACCCCCTGGGCACCCTGTTGCTGGATATAGGGGACATTGCCCACCTGGCACCCCCTGGGCACCCTATTGATGCCTGTAAGGGACATTGTGCACTTGGCCCTCCCCGGGGCACCCTATTGCTGGCTATAGGTGCTATTGCCCTCCTGATACACCCTGGTGATCCTGTCACCAACTATGGGTGCTGCTGCCCTCCTGGCACGCCCCTGGCACCCATCCCAGTGCCACCGAGTCTCAGGGCTTGCAGAGGTCACAGGGCCGTGCTGGAGGTGGCACCATCCCGCGGTGACACTGCCTTGTCCTCCTTCCTCTCCAGGAGGAGGTGTCTGAAGCCCCGGCAGCAGCACCGCAAGCTGCAGGTCTCAGGCACCCTGGACGCCTCCAAGAAGGACCAGGCCACGTCCATGTCGCAGATCAACCTCATCTGCAGCAGCCACCTGGAGACGGCGTCGTCCGGCGGCGACACGGACGTGCACACGCCCATGCTCAAGTCGGCCTTCTCGGCCTCGCGCGAGTTCGAGAGCTCCCGCGACGAGTTCTTCAAGCAGGTGTCAGCGCCCAAGATGCGCGGCGTCCCCAAGACGCCCACGGACACCCTGAGCCACCGCGGCGGCGCCCCCAAGGAGGACTACGGGCGCCCGGGCGAGCCCTTYGGCCTCAAGGCCACGCGCTCCGTGGACGGCCCAGGGCCGGGCGAGCCGCCCTTGCTGGACGACTACAAGCGGAGCTACCCGCACCAGCGYGTGGAGGAGCGCGGCGCGGCCGCCCGCAAGCACCCGCGGCCCGAGGGCTCCTACGCGCAGGAGCCGCCCTCGCCGCCGCCGCTGCCTCCCCCCTTCGAGCACTACGGGGGGCCCAAAGGGGAGCCCAAGGCGGCCGAGTTCCTGCTCTCGCAGTCGGTGGAGCAGCTGGCGCGGCCCACATCGCTGAGCCAGCCCGGGCAGCTCATCTTCTGCGGCGCCATCGACCACGTCAAGGAGGACGTCTACAGGAACGTCATGCCCACCCTGGTCATCCCGGCGCACTACATGCGCCTGGCGGCCGACTACGGCGCGGGTGAGGCGCCGGCCGGCGCGGGGCCGCCCGAGGGGCCGCCCGAGCTGGAGGGCCCGCCGGGGCCCAACGCGGCGCCCGTCTTCGGGGCGCCCGAGCCGCAGCGGCCACTGCTGCCGCCGGCCTTCCCGCTGGCACCGCAGGCGTTCGGCGCGGGCGAGGAGGGCGAGGGGGCCGGCTGGGGCCCGCACGGCGCCTCGGTCAGCGGCTCCGTCACCATCCCCGTGCTCTTCAACGAGTCCACCATGGCGCAGCTCAACGGCGAGCTGCAGGCGCTCACCGAGAAGAAGCTGCTGGAGCTGGGCGTCAAGCCGCACCCGCGCGCCTGGTTCGTGTCCCTCGACGGGCGCTCCTCGCAGGTGCGCCACTCCTACATCGACCTGCAGGGCGGGGACAGGAGCCACGGCGGCCCCGACGGCGCCGGCGACGCCAAGCCGCGGCGGCGGCCCAAGGAGGAGC